CATATGTAAAAGAATCGTTTCTGGCCACTCCCACGTGAATGGCGATCAGAAAACTTTCCTCACTTGCGTGAACTTCTACACATGACTCCATCCTCCATTATCTCTGTTTTACGTTTTAAAAACAGAACGCACTAAAAATTTGAGAAATATGTTATTTTTTTATTGAGAACAATGAAAAGCATGCAGAATGCTTAATTTGTTATAAATAAAATAAAGCGTTGTAAGAAGCATGATATAAAAAGACGTTATGAATGTTGTAACAAAAAACTTATAAATATCGAGGGAGACGCCCGAAAAAGTCTTCTTGATAATTACAAAAGAAAATTTTATTTACAATTAAATTCTCAGCCTATGGCAAACAAAAAAGTATTAGCACATGAAAAGGCATCTTTTGTAGTTGCACTTGCATTAGCAAAGCAAGGCAGACCTTTCACCGATGGCTAGTTTTTCAAAAACTTATGCGACAATGCGTTGCAATGCTTTAATGAAGGAAATGCAGGAAATTTTGAAAACCATTCCATTATCCCACCAAACTATAGCAGGTAGAGCTGAGGTTCTCAGTGCAGATATACAGTCCTGTACCAAACAAAGATTGTTAAACTGTAGATATTATTCAATATGCTTAGATGAAAGCACAAATAGTAAGAACATATGCCAATTAGTTATTTGTGAAAAAACTGTCAATGATAGATTTGAGACTTTTGCAGAAATTGTTACTACTGTTGCTTTCTTTKGTAACATCACCGGGAAAACTCTATTTGATACTTTACAAGAGCATGTTTTCTCTATAGCGAACACCAATAAATTGAGCGCAATATGTACAGATGGTGCGAAGGTGATGGTGGGCAAAAAAATTGGTTTGGTTGGGCAGTTATCTATGAATAACATTAAGGTTCCCACATTTCATTGTTGCATTCACTCAATGCTGGGTTGTGTACAAGCAATGGAAACAGCAATCAAAATAATAAATAAAATCAAGGTGGGTCATAATGCGCCTAGCCATCGAAAATTTAAAACTTTCTTGGAAGAAATCGACGCAGAACATAACGATTAACTTTTACACACCGAATTTCGTTGACTAAGCAGAGGCAAATACTTGCAAAGGCTTTTCGAACTAAGAACAGAGGTCAAAATATTTCTAGAAGATGATAATTCAGAGTTAGGAGTGGGTTTCATCATTGAATAATGAAGAATTTATAACGGATCTAGGTTTTCTGTGCGACATCACAAAAATACTTGATCAATTAAATCTGACATTGCAGGGCAACAATAAACTAATTTTCAATTTACATAAAACAATAACTCCATTTCAAGAAATATTAAAGAATTTAACCCATCAAATCAACAATAACTATTTAATAAGTATGCCTATCATGACTTGCATAGGAATTTTCAATCACAAATAAATTAGAATACTATAGCCAATTATATCCCGCATTTTAAAAAATTACAACAAAAGATTTAAAGGTCTAGCTCAAATACAACCAGTTGTAAACCTATATGATAATCCATTGACGTGTGATGTTGCTACCTTTGATACGTTACTTCAAAAAGAAATCAGAGAAATGCGATCAGATTTTTCGTTACTTATTGACTTCTTCTTCTTTTTCTTGATTGGCGTAGACAACGCTTACGCGATTATAGCCGAGTTAACAGCAGCGCGCCAGTCG